CACAGACCTGCAGATTGTGCTTCAGAGGTGTGAAAACATTGTTTACGGGCGCTGGTGGAGGCGACATCTGACTCTGTGCTGCTGTAGCAAGTTGAAAGTAGGCCAGCTAAAAGGCAGAACAAAGCCCAGGGAACGCCTGCCTAACTTTTACTTTAAAAATACATGAGGCGGCGCCCGACACTCCCCACCTATCAAACATTAAGCAGCAGTGGAAAAGATGTTTAATGCACATACACAGTGACACACTCATAAAACACCTGAAAGATACAGTGTGGTAAAAACAAACATCAGTCACATGAAAACATGTTTCATTCTTAGGCGGTACACTAAACTGGCTGCACCTCTGTGCAATATCACCAAATTGTTAAATGATTTGAAAAGGTATCTTTTTAAATTCAAGTGCATGGTATTTAATCAGGTATTGTGCATCATTAAAACAAACTGGTTTGTTTGACAAAATTGAAAATAAAAGCCCCAAAAGTTCATCGTCATGGACACAACTGTGGGATCAGCTGTGTGCTGATGATCTGTCGCTCGCTGGGTTTGGAAGCTAAACAGAAGGAACTGGCTAAAGAAATCAGTTTTCTGCAGAGAAGCTGACTGGAGGATACCGTGTGTGTCTGGAGCGGGGTGTGTATAATTAGCTGTAGTTGTGAATTGCCTCTCCAGTCTACGGTCTGCTGAGGCGCTCTCTCTATCACATGCACTCTTCCTCCTCCTCTGCTTCTCCTCCTGCAGTTATTGGTGAGCATTCGCTCTTTAGCTGCCACTCGGCCATTTCAGCTCCTACACGGCAGCATTCGTACATCTGGCTGCACACACACAATCCGTGGTCTTCTTCAGAGTTGTGAGGACAGTCACTGACATGATGCATCTTCCAGCCCCTAACTCTGACCCTAACCATCACAGCTAAGTGCCCAACCCCAGCCCTCACACTGCTCCTAACCTAAACCTTGTCTGAACCCTCAGAGTCTTTGTGTCAGAGACTGAGGACCAGCCCACTCACTTATGTCTGGTCCTCACAACCATACACACACACACACACACACAAACATCACTGCTGCAGGCTGATGTATGGAAATCAGGAGCATCAAAACTGCATAATGTGTCATTTCTCCTCTCCGGGAAAGAAAGGAAGCATCCATTGATGGCCCAGTTTGGAAGTTACAGACGTATGTCTGACGCCTACACTGTTACGACAGTGTTCATTAGACAATATTAGATCATTGACTGATGGGATGTTCAGATAATGTCATGGCTTTACAGTAGCATCTTCATCAACGTTTAAAGGTTTTCACAGCCCGAGGAATGCTAACCTCTGTTCCACAGGACAATGAAAACTAGAACAGCCCTATAATAAGTAGATTATGTATCCTTAAACAGCACAATGAATAACCCTAATGCAATTAAACTACTAGAAATAAAACAACCGGAAAAGTCATCAAAAGTTAAGGAACTGTGTGTAAACGTCATGAACCAAGCCTTTCTCAGGGATCAGCAGCAGGTGAACGTTCATCTTCTCTGCAGCAGTGAAGTAAATGAAACCTAATACCAGCAGTTCCTACAGGTCCCGACTGTAGTTGGTGACTGACACCAACAGATTCTGTCTCTATAAAGGCAGCGTTGGATCAGACTGTGTTACTGCTCCCTCTGAAGCTTCATGTGGAAAAAGGCCATGAACCAAGTCAGAGCCTTTGGTGGTTTCATCCTGTAGCTGGAAGATGAGCCACAAACAGCTCCAGGCTGTGGAGGAGGAAAGAACAGGAGATGCGCCGGCAGCACAGGGTCCAGACTGGAAGCAGAGCAGCCGACAGGTGCAACACATCTGTGGGAACATCTGTAGCAGTGCTGTCTGTCCCAGCAGTGTTTGGTTTTAGTTGTAGAGAGGAGGACACAGGTGTGTTCAGCTGCTGGATCACAGTGGTAACAACTGGACACATGGGGGTGACTCATGTTGAGATTCCATAGAAATAACAGTAATTACTGCAGAGTTAAGGGTTAAAGCAAAAGCCTTGTGAATAATTTAAATAAAACATGAACCTAGTGACCTGCGAGGGCCAGAAGAATTCCCTAAATAATACATGTATAGTGAGATTTTGGACACTCAGTTTTCATAATTTTTACACTATGGAAATATCATGGGCATGATAGAGAGTGTAAGTTTTGCACTGAGAATTCAAACAAAAAAAGCCAGTGAGTGTATATGTTGCACTTTGTAGTAAATAGGGAGCAATTCAGACTCAACCCTGATGTTCCTCTGCAGTTTAATCGTACACTGTCTATGGGTGTGTGTGTGCCTGTGCACGCCTGCATGGCCACTCATCGTCATCTCTGATGCTTGTTGCCATGGCTACCTCTCTCACTGGTGTAAAGAAATCCCAAATTTTTCTCCCAGCTCAACACTTTCTGTGACCTGCAGGGAGAGGGAGAAAGAGGCCGAGAGAGGATTGTTGTAACCTCGCTCTCGCTCTCTCTCTCTTTGTAATCACACGTCCATTCAGAGCTGACTGAAGTGAAGCCTGCAGGTCTGCGAAGGAGTCACGCTGGCCACAGCGAATAAAAACAAATTCTGCATGTTCTCTTGAGGAAATGAAAATGTTTTGGCTGTAAATATGGAGGATAAACAACAGTGCATTAAAGCCCATGAAAACACAGGTTATGTTTTAGATTATTTCTCTGTGACATTACAGAACTAATAAACTCACAAGTAAGGATCAGAACAGAATTTTTTAAAGGTATTATTTACTAAGAGTTTGTCAGTTGAAAACTCTAATATGCTTCCTCAGGGCTGTGTGTTCATGGAAGTGGCATGAGGTCACGTTGACCTTTGACCACCGAAATCTATTCAGTTAGTCTTTAAGTCCAGGTAGACATTTGTGCCAAATTTGAAGAAATTCCCTCAAGGTGTTCCAGAGATGCTGTGTTCATGAGACCAGACCAGGCGGACAACCCGAAAACGTGATGCCTCTGGCCCCGGCTGTCGCTGGCATGGAGGCAAAAAACCCCTAAGCTTTGTCATAAACCTCAAAGAAAATGTGTCACAGTCTGCCCATACTGTTTGAAACAATGTGGGATGCAGAAAACCTCGCTGTTTGTTTAGCAACAAAGATGCAGCCAGAAACCAAAGTGAAACCAAAGCCAAAACCGTGATGGTAGCCACTTTAATGAGCCGCGGAGAGCTGCTGGGGGATGAAAATTAAAACTGAGCTGGTGGGGACGTTATGTGGGCTACATGGCGTATGTGCAGCCTAATCTGATCATACATCTAGAGTGTAGGAGAGCTGCCCGAGGGGGGAGGTTGGGCAGTCAGTCGGGTTCCCAGGACTCCATTCACTCATGTACAAAAGCTATGGACCCCTGCCTTAACATGTAATGTCATTTAATCAGAGCGGAAACAGACTCTACAGGATCAATGAAGTGCCAGTGAAGTACTGATTGATTATAGTGGTGAAAGACAGGGAGGAGGAGAGGAGTTCTTCTGCAAACCTGCTGAATTACAGTGAGGTGCAGCTGAAGTGTGAGGGCTGAGAGGAGGATGGATGGAAAACCATTTCATTTAATAGGCCATTGTTGTGTGTTGTGCTGCTGTTTGCAGATTATTTTCAAAGAAGAAAGATGTGGCAGGTGTGCATGTCTGTGCGGGCCAATTAGTGTGTGTGATATGTTGCTGACTTCAGGATTAAAACACCTCCTTTCCTCTCTCATCTCCTTCTCTTTCGATCTCTATCTTTACAGTACCTCATTTATCAGCTCCTCTTCCTCCTTCTGTTTCTTCTCTTCCCTCCCTTCAGCCAGTAAATCTAAAGTTGCTCATTTAAATCTCTGAATTTGAGAATCTCAGATGATACGTCCTGAAAATCCACTTACAAAACGGGCACAGCGGCACTGTAACCTGAAGGTTCATGGTGTAAAACCCTGGAGAAGCTTGACTTTTCTTTTTGCAGTTGATGTTGCTGGCTTGAAGCCTGAGGCTCAGGACACGGCTGTTTACTTGCTCGTATTGACTCTAAAGTTAGCTTTCGGTGTGTTTTACAACAACCGCAAATGTTCCCTAACAGATACGTTTTGTGCCTAAATCTAACCAGACCTGTTGGGATATTTACTAAATCTGTCACAAAACACCATCAGGTGCACAAAATATTGGGGCACTGCAATTTCTTTTTATTTAGGGGCGTATGTACCAACACTGATGATGTAACTGAGCACAGCCGCAGCTTTGTTAATTTGAATACACCGCTGCTTCAGATCTGCTGCCTGAAGGTTGTTGCACATGCGGACCGAGAGGACGTATAGAAAAAAGTCAGAGTTTACAGCGACTGAACATTAATATGGTCAAAACATCTTCTTTTTAGTTCGGTAACTGAGGCATGGTTTGACTTGAAGTCTGCGAAAGTCCCTCACATTCTCATCTGGCGAGCGATGTGATTCGCCAACACCCTCTCCCTCCTCAAACATACTTAACTCCCAGATGACTGACAGCTGACAGCAGGGCTGCCAAACTTTACACTCACTTTCTCTTGACGTTAAACTTCAGCCGCAGTTTCCTCTGTCACAGTGGTAGTAAATCAGGCGCTGAGGGTAGTTGTATACATTTCCAATCAATGCCTTAAAATATATATGGCATGAGACCAAACATGCAAATTCCTGCGGCGCTGCTTTCCTTCTGTCTCTCTGCTGTAAAACCCCGCTGTGACTCCTTAGGAAATATGAACACATGCAATTTCACTGTTGTCAGACAATGAGCCACAAAACCTTAGTAAATACCCCTGGTGTCAAATCAAAAAACTATTTTGTTTTTGCTTCTTCACTGTGTCACTGTAGAGACCTGAAAATAGCTTTGTAAAAATTGACACCCCTAAAAATTTTTATTTTCTTATTGTACAATTTTATTTTTACTGCTAGTATTCATTTGGTTTCTATTACATCTCTTTCGAGTTGGGCGTATTTCTTATACTGGCCAGTAGATGGCGCATCACGAGCAGCAGTGGTAGAGAGTAGGCTTGGGGCACACCAGAGGAAGAGTTCATTCCTCGTGTGAAATAAAGCTGTTGAAACGTGTCCTCTGCATATTCTCTATCCCAGGTTGGTAAACACTAAACGTAAAAGTTAACTGCAAACTGTAAGAGTTGTATTTTGTCGGGGATGATATTGATTCATGTGATATGAGGTGAAACGGGTTTTCTTGTAGAGTTTGGAGTGAACAGTGAAAAGTGTTTCTAAGCTAACCTGCTAACGCTAGTCGTCAATTTAATGGGATATGATATGGGAGAAGCTAACCCAATGGTACAAGGAGCCTTGTGAATACTACAGTTAACACTTTTATGACATGGGTTCATGCAATATGACAGTTGCTGGTTTTATTTGTCACCCTGTGTGCACATTTTTGGTTTACCAAATACCATAAGTGCTATTGTGAAAATGTAGTAGATACATGGCGGTCATGTTCAAGTTTAAAAGGGAGCCGCGCCACCTCAAAGACATTGTTTATGAATTGTATATTGAGCTGGTTGATTAGATGTATATGTTCCATGGTTTACTGTTAAAAATATTAATATTTGTACAAGTTTAAAGACCACCCAGTAGTTCATTTAATGTTAAAGGTGAATTGTTAAAAAGGGTTAAAAGCATAAATAGTCAATACAGTTCATGATATGGTGGGAATACGGTAAAATGCAATAAGTTAAAAACAAAGTAGACATATTGGGAAGTGAGTTGTGTTACTTTGGGTAAGAGAGATATTGGTGAATTGGTGGATGAGCATGATTGTATTTTTGCTTACTTGTGTTGTAGTTAGACAAAAGAAAGTAACTGATAGCGCTTAACTAAGCTATGGCCACATGGACATTGGACTGGTTTAAGGCCATTCAGTTCCCTAGTCATGTTGGTGTCATGTTAATCGGTGAGCCAGAGGAAGACTTCATTCCTCGTGTGAAATAAAGCTGTTGAAATGTGTCCTCTGCATATTCTCTATCCCAGACACACACCATATGCCCTCTGAACCCCAGAGGAGCAACATCACTCTGAACGACAATTGCAAAATGCTTTTTAAACTTTAATTTGGAGGATTTCTTGTGTCCCCTTAGAACAGTAGACCAACAGTTTTATGGGTTTTTCTTGTGATTTTGCTTTATTAACTTAACAAAATGAATAAAACTGCACGGACTCGGGTTAAGTCACCATATTCTCATTGAACAGATGGAAATATGGGTTTTTATTGTGATTCACTACAGTGTTTATAAGAGCTTGCTGCTTCGACCACAGAGTCACGCCTGATGCTCCCTCTCCTCCCTAACCAGTTTATTGGCAATTTCCTCCCCCTCTCAGAGACACCACGCACAGTATATCATGTCACAATGATGAAGCAAGCCTGGAAATAATAATATTTTAACCTGCTTATTAGACTTAACTCAGTTTGCAAGTTATGAAGGAAATAACTTAGATTATGAAAGCCCGGAGAGCCACTTGCAGTCCTTCAGAGTCCTCAGTAAGTGTTCAGGTAAAGTAACAATAATCCCGCCAACATATAACTAACGTTTAATCTTCAGGTCGTGTGTTTTCCCCACGTTTGCTTGAACCAATAACATGTCCACTAGCATAGCTGCTTTTAAGTCGTCTGGGGCAAGTCACAAGTGATTGAAACAGGCTCGATACAAGTCTCAAATCATTCAAGACAAGTCCGTGTTTTTAGCTATTTGAGACAGAATTCATATCAGGTCCAAGGTTATTTGATTCTTAGTCAATTCTCTTGTGTTTTGAGACTGATTGAGTCTGAGCATATTTAGACAGATCCAAGTTGACGTTTATTGAAAGATGTCTCTTGGTGACAAGTCAAATATCAAGACACATCCAAATTCATTCAGACAGATCCTAATCAAGGTACAAGTCCAATAAGACAAGTACACGTAAAGTCTCAAAAAAGATTGCAAGTCAAGTCTTAAGTTTACTGAGACAGGCTGAGATGTATCTGTTAAGTCTAAGTGTCTAAGTTAGGTCTCAGATTAATCTGAGACCAGACCAACTTGAGTCTCAGCTTATTCAAGACAAATCAGGTCAAGTTAAGGTGTGTCCTATTTGAGACATTGCCCATCAGGAAAGGCTTTTAACAGTTCCTGATGAAGGCCATGTGCTGAAATGCCTTGTTTTTAACATCAAGTTTTTCTATACACCACAAGTGTTGCTAGATTTTTTTGCCTTTCCAGTTTGTTTTTTCTTCTTCTTCTGCTTAGACAGGCCCAGGTCGAGTTTTTATTTCAGACAAGGTCTCAGTCAAGTCATTTGAGACAAGTCACGTCAAGTCTCAAAGTACTGTTTGTCAAGTCAAGTCACAAATTATTCATGAGAGGCCTAAATCAAGTCTATTTTGTCTCAATCAGTCCCGCTGGCAGCGCCGGAGATAGACAAGTGTCCTCTAAAAGGTTCACCTCATTTGAATTGCAGGAGGTATTAACCAATCAGAGTCCAGGATTATGACTATCCTGCCTTCAAGGAAACTGTGTTCAGATTTATTCAACACATTTTTCAAACTATTTATTTACAGAACACCAGGAAGAACAGTTTTTTGTCCTGGGGTAGATTCAAAACGGAATAATCTGGGACTTGTTTTTTTTCCCCATAAAGTCATCCAAATGAAAGTTCACCAGCTTTGAATGCATGACAGCACAGACCTGGCAGACGGGAACTACTGCATATGCATGAAATCGCCCTATGGAAAAAATACTTTTACATTTAAAGGAAATCAAGGCAGAAAATTTCAGGGTAACTTGAGTTCAGGTGGTGCTGAGGCAGGGGCTCCTCTGTCTGGGCGTGTTGGGATCTCCTTCAGGGTGGAGGACTTGGTGGCACTTAAGCCGATCGACTCGGAGCTATAAAACCGTGGCTAACCGTTAATCCCTCCTTGTAGTCTTTAAACGTAGAAGTTTGCATATGAGCAGTCTGGCCAAGAAAAAGTTGTAACTATCAAAAGCTTTGTTAATGATGGAAGATCTTGTTACCACTGATGTGAGGGAGAGCAGGGAGGATGAAGGATTTGCAAATGTGACCCAAGTCAAAATATGTCTGCATCATCATTGCCTCATTAAAGCAGGGAAACAAAGACTAGAGTGAAAAATGCAGAAGAAGTGCAAGGCCCAGGAGGAGGAGGAGACAGACCAGGAGAAGGGAGGGAGTAGGTGAGTGGCCAGAGCCTAGTGCCCTCTGGCAGCCAGATTTCATCCTCGCCTCCTCTCGTTTAAAGGAAGACAGGCGTAGAAGATTTTGTGGCAACTCGTGGGGAAGGTGGGTGTCAAATTTTTAAGTGTAGTGCAGCTTGGAGATGTGTCAGAAACTGAGCTCAAGCAACTTTATGTAAAAGTTCTGACAAGTGGAACGCCAGGTGTTTGTTCCTCTCATACTGCTGTGATAAAAACATCCTCATCCAGTTTCACTGGTGCATCGACGTGACATCCATTATCCACCTCAGATACATCACTGTATAAATGTGTGCATAGACTGTACATATATGGTATAGTGGTCGGATGTTCCCCGGATTAACGAGGTCTGCACCAGACGCTGGGCTACCGGGACGGTCTGACTCTAAGTGGGCCTCTGGAATGAATTACTCATGGACAAGACATGAAAACCTGGATCTGATGGAATGCTACTACAATAGTAACCTAATGAGAAGAGGCATATGAAACATATGAGCACTCAAAGTTTGAGACTGACCAACTAGGACCTGAATCAAAGAAGACCTGAAAGAACAAGTGGATGTGCAACCCACAGCTGAATCTGGGCCCTCACTGCCACCCTCCTGTACAGAGCATGGCCACTGATATGAGTCAAAGAATAATGGATAAACTAGCTACAGTCAGTCCTTGAGACAGATCGCCGGGCAGTGTGTGGCATCCCGCATGAACCCTGTCCAACTCGTTATGTATTTTAACTGTGTCTTGATGTATTTCTCTATTTTGGTGCAATTCTGGTTGGTGGAGGCATACAACTTCGAAGCAGTAATTAAAGTCAAACCTACATCTTAACTAGTTATCAGGGCATTTTGAGCAGGAGCTGCTGTGACACAGAAAATAAATCCCTGCAGGTCAAGTCTGAAGTGCATGTGCACATACTCTACATATCCTTGGAATTTGTCATACAAAGAAAAAACCTCTTAGAAACCCATTTAAGCGCCTGTAGGTAATTAGGGTTCTCCATCAGCAGTCTAGCTGTGTTAAGGTCATTTTTAGTCCCTTAATCTGAAAAATGAAGCTATTTCCTGCTTACAGGAACATTTCTGAAATCGGGTTAGTGATCATCAGAGTGTAGCTTTATGAGGGGCCCTTTGCTGTCAGGCAGTACGTGCTAAACTTAGCTCACGCTTTGTCTGTAAATATCTGCTTAGATCCTTAATACTGTACATCCTCTGGACCCTGCTTTTTCTTTTCTTAGCTTTTTCATTTCACTTCTTCATCACTGACATAGGTTAACAGTGAAGTTGACAGCCTTGTCAGGATTTTTAACGTTTCCCACTGCTGCGTCCTCACAGATGACAGCTGTTATTACCTGGTGAAAAATAACGCAGCAGTCAGCGTTCCTGAGCAGAGCCTAATATAGCTGCTGTTTGGCTGTCACTTCTGCAGGAGGAGGAGGAAGGAGTGTCAAGTCGAAGAGCAAGGAGGAGATCAGCAAACGAGGTGAGTGTGCCGACTGCTGAGGGAGTCCGAAATAAAAGGTTTTTATAAATACTTTTTTTCTTTTTTGTGTGACTGACCATCGTGCCTGTGCTGGACTTTAAACCTCTGCTCTCTTTGTTCTGTCGTGTTGCCTGTCCCACCTCAAAGCAACTTGACATGGTGTCCGCTGTGCTCTGCATTTCATTACGGGAAACACTGTAGTCATCACTGTGAACTGTACCAAGAAGTAGAAACAATAGGAGAAATAAAGTGCACCCCTCAAAAACTGAGCTCTGAATAGTTTTCAACAGCTGCAGTTTGTTCAGTAATTTAAATATGCAAATACAGCTGTTCTCTAGGTTAGAGAAATATTATGTACACTGTATTTTTTCTGTTTCGAATCCACATCAGACATTAAAAATATCAAAAAGTATCATTAATAAATGAACAGTTGGACAAATAAATGGCTGTAGACTCTTGGAGTCATTTCCAGTCGCTCCTTACTCGACCCGGGCATGGTTCTGGTCCGCCACCTTGAAGAACGTCTCAGGCTCTTATTGCTGCTCTGATGAGCGAGGAGGCTAATGAAGGAGCCATGAGCAAGGACAACGTGGACGCTGCTGCTGCAGCTCGGAGCACCACTAAGCTCCAAGGTGTATACACACACACACATACACACCGAGTTTCTCCATGTGAAAGTGTGTGTGGTTTTAATGTGTGAACAATTGGAAACGGAGAGTGGTGAATGTGAAACGTCTCTGGACAGGTGTGACTGTGCAATTGACCTGGGATTTAGAGGGAGACCAGTGTCTCTTCTTCACGTCTCAACGTGGTTCACATACACTGTCCACTCCGCTCCAACCGTGGCTACTGTAGTCCCACTGCTGATATTATTATGATTAATAGTTGTTCTAGTAATAGCACTTGTAATAAATGTACAGTAATTGTAGTAGAGTCCTGTATGATCTTCCGCTATACTTCAACCTGTATTATATTTCAAGTTATTGATTTGTATTTGTCTAAACTAAAGGTGCTCATGGAAAATGTCCCCATTCACGCTTTTATACACATAATGGTGAGAAACGAAAGGAAACTCCTGAATAACTGAACAACAAGGCCACTGATCAATCAGCTGATCACTGTCCTGATGATCTGATTGATCAGTTTATCCCAAGAATGTCAGACACTGTGACTCTCCAAGCCAAAGGTGGCGTCTCCACGCCTTGTTGTGTCCAACCAGCAGATCCACAGAGACTCAGCTGATTCTCATGTCTGACAAATAGGGATGGGACAATATATCAAAATTCTACATATTGTGATACAAAAACAATACATCATGTATCATTTTGTTTAGCAATAGTGTATATAGTATGTGGTGTGGTCTCCGTACACTAGCAACGTCATATTTTTGTAAGAAGCCTAACAGAATGCAAGTCATTATACAGTATCTGGCTGTTCTTGACATGATCCAACCAGTGCTAGAAAAAGGGGAATAAAGTACAAGTATTCCGCAGCTAGTTGTAGACTGTTGTCATTGAATTTTTTATTGTATCGGTATTGAATCGTACACACCGTATCGTGTATCGAGAAAATGGCACGTCGTCCAATCGCTAATGGCAAAGAAAAGCAGTAAATAGCAGTAGTAAATAAAAAGACAAAGAAAAAAGAAATGGGATAGACAATGGGGTAAAGAAAGAAGATGGCAAAGCTGCATAGTGCTGAGAAATAAATAAACAGAGAAGAGGAATCAGGGAGACACAGGAGAGAAAGGGAGAGCGAGGAAACCAGAGTAGGTGAGGAGAGAGAGCAGGACAACACATGGGCAGAGACTGTGATGATCAGGCTTCCAGCAGGTTCCTTTGTCCTCCTGCAGAGCTGCAGCCATGTTGTTGTTGAAGTCAGAACACTGACATCAGGCTGATTTGGCATTGAAATCAAATATTTAAAGGTGTAAATAAACATGTGTTGCATGTATGTTGACCTGATCCTGTCCTCACTGTAAATCTGACATGATGCTTCATCGGCCTGGACAGGGCACATCAGCATTTCTAGATGTGTTGTCAGTATTTTGCAAACTCACTGCTAAAGTTGTGATGCAAACCGACACACTGACCTTCACTTAGAGATGGAGTGACGAGTCAGTTCATCTGTACGTCGATCGATTAGCAGCTATTTTGAATCATTGATCATTTATCAATCATCCTGGCCAGTAAAGCTGATTCTGATTATTTTTGTCAAATCAAAACCGTCAGTTCACTTTTCCCGCCTCACAGTTTGAAAACCTCTGATCTAACATAATCTCACTTTGTCTCTAATTTTTAAATCTCGTCTCAGAATATAATTCATCATTGTGTCGCCTCATCTAATTTAGTCTCGGCCCTTATTTTATCTCATCTAATATAATTAGGTCTCAACCTGCCTCGTGCCAAACCTCATCGATTCTCACTTTATTTAATCCAGTAATTTGATCGTGGCTCCAGTCGTCGTCTCCTCTAACTCGCTCTCGTTGACTATATTCCTGTGTAATTTAATCTAGCATAACCTCATCTAATGGTGTTACCTATTGCAGGGAGACAAATAACAAACAGGAAAAAACAAAAGAGATTACTAATGAGCTTTCTGATTGCCTCCAGAGTTGCCATGGTAACTAACAACGTGCACCTGACTGTGAACTATGATGATCAGCTCCGCCACACCGAACTACAGCCCTCACCTCTGATCATGAGGGTCGGCTGGCTGAAGCTGTCTGCCGTGTAATCGGCACTATTAACTTTAATTGCATTTTGTTAACATTTCCCCTCCTCCTCTTCCTCTCCTCCTTCATCCCCCCATCTCTTCTCACATTTGTCTCTGCTGTGAGACTCAGAGATGATTAAACCCTGAACACACTCACATGCCAGTCAGTCCTGCTGGGTGTCTTATTAACCCTCATTAGCCATTTCTCTCAGATGTTAATGGGACGATCCCACGAGTGACACTCCCCGCTGAGCGCGCTCAGTGTGGACTGGTGTGCCAGTGAGAGAGCGACAGGGGGGACGGAAGGTCAGGGAGTGAAAGAGAGGAAGAGGGAGAGTGAACAGATGGAAGATCTTGGAAGGAAGGTATATGACATAATGTAATGAACCGGGAACCTTCTTGCTGTGAGGTGACAGCGCTAACCACCACGCTGCTGTGCCTTGCTGCCACATGGCAGTAATATCTGCTCAGTGTCAGCGGTACGGTCATGATTTGGCTGCACTTCATTACTTTGAACTGTAAGCATCACCAGTGAACTCTGAGTAAATCAAGCTTTTTTATTTTTGGGTAATCTGTCACCCATCTGCAGATATATAGATAGATGGAAGATGGGTCATTTCTGGAGCTCAGGGCCGGGCCCAGGGCTGCGTAGAAGTGTCCCCCAGCTGCGAGGCCTTGAGGCTGGGTCCTGCAACCTGCAAGAAAAGAAACAGGGCAGGCAAAAAGAAGGCTGTTGCCATTTATCTGGTCAATAAGAAAACTGACAATAATAACAATAAATCCATAATAAAACTATTTAAAAAATGTAATAAAACATGTATGATGACAACAAGGATCAGTTTTTCTGCACCTGGTTACAGCTAATTTGGTGTGCTTAATGCTTCAGCTTGCCAACACTTAGTTTTTACTGCTATTTTATTTGTTCCCAAAGAGACCTGAACGTCGGTATTGGCATGTTCCTCTCTCGGATTAGTCAAAAAAAGCATAGTTTTTGTGTGGACACAACTGAAACTGAGTAAAATGTATGTTTGCAAATGTAATTGGCTTAGACTCCTCTGCTAACAGTGACAGTGTAATGAAAACAGTTAACACTGATATTAGCAGCATGATAACACTGTTATCAGCAGGATAACAGCAGCAGACAACCAGTTGGCTGGGTGGCAGCAAACGTTCTGACTCGGCGCCCTTGAACTTCCTTCCTGCTGCAGGCAGCGTTGCTTGAGCTGCTCTCTGACCTTTGACCCTGCTGTACAGGCGACATGGACGCATGAAGCTGGTCACAGTAAAGAGGATTTGATGGCTGCATTGCTCAGATAGAGAGATTGGAGCAGTGAACGGTTCTGAACGCATTCATAGTCCAGAGCCAGGAGCTTACAACATGCCTGAAAACGTAGTCAGCCTTTTCAATGCAGCATCCATACTGTGTGTGTGTGTCTGTGTGTGTGAGAACAAAGCCAGTAAAGCGTCAAAGCAGAAACATGCTTATGCAGTACATCACGCTCTCCCATCACGGATTAACAACCTCACACAAGTTGCATATATAAGCAGTTTGTAGCTGCCTCTGTGTAGAGCTGCACTGTGACACATGAAGGGCCAGGAGACCAGCACTCTGTTTGCTTTGTGCTGGCTGAGATGTTCACAAAGCATAAAAATCAGCAGCAGCTGTCTGTGTGCTTGTATGGCTCTCTTTATGACGACAGTGTATTTTTCTGTTGCTTTGGTAGGGTGCTTGATGTTGTCATGGAGTAGAGGATCAGAGGAAAGGGTCAAAAATGTTTGACCTGTTCTTAAATGAATTCGCAGAAAAGCTAAACCCAAACCCAGCAGGGACAAATTAACTTGACTAGAAGAAGAGAGATGCCCGAAACAGTCAGACCCAGCGTGGGATTATTAGACCTGACCGCAGCACAACTCTCCTCCGGTTAAAGAGCAGCAGTACATGTCATTTTTTCACATTCCCCACCTGCTTCAAAAAGAAAAACTCCTATTTTCCTTCCTTTGAATACTAGAAATCGGCCAGTGAAAACATCCAAATGTCGCAGATGAGAACAAAACGCAAAGAAAACCAAGAGTCTGTTGATCCAACATGGACCAAAATCTCAAAGTCAACTCACAACGTCACACTGAGACACAGTCACAATTGACTTCTCTTTTTCACTTCGTATGTCCTCAGACTTGGGAACCAAAAAGCTGATGGTTCATCCAGGAGAGTTTCAGCTCTGTCTGAGTGACTCCAGTCACACACTGCACCTCGGGAGTGAGGAGACACAGCTACACTTTATTTA